ATTTAAAGTGAATATCAATTTTTTATCCAATTGTAAAATGTGACGAATTTATTCATTCTAAATCTTAATACTAAAGAGTACAGATTTTATCTAAGCAGTACCTATCATCCTCTTAGTAGCTACAATACTTCAACAGCTAAACATCCGTAAGCCTTTAGCAAAACAATTTTCCCATAACGCCATGTTTATCCCAAAAGAAGTATTACAATAACACGGAAAGGTACGGCGAATGTTTCGTTCATCCTGTTGCCTGGCGCCCCTCCTACGTGCCCTAGAGGTGTTTACGTGTTACCCTGCAATCAGGGCGCCGTGAAGCGTGAATGTGTTATACTTGTCATCGACAAATTTGCGCGCGCCCTTAATAAATTTCACTTTGGTTTAAGTTGTAAGAGCTGAGTTTTTTTGGAAACTATCGTACTAGTAGGTATTTTATGCGAGTGTGGGCGCCAGTATTCATATGATAGATTTTAAGGTTTGCAAGAAAAAACGAAAGTCTTTGCATTTGAATACGAGTCCCATGTAATTGATGAGATTCATTGGCTTATACTTAGCTGGTTTATACTGAGTGAGTGACCCTTTTAGCATAGGCATGATGTCAGCGTCTCTTTTCTAATTCTTCTGTTTAAATTTTTCAACTCTTATATTTTTATTACTTCCACTGTCACATCTTGATTGTCTATTTTTATTTTTTTATTTATGTTGCATCGTGCCTGGTGCTAAATAAATGTTTTTTCTTTCTTTCTTTCATTGCGATAACCACCAGGTACAATTGGGTACTTGCCAACTAGTCAAATTCTATACTTTTTTCGAACTGTCAAAAACGACAGTTTTCTATGAATTTTGTACGAGATTGTGTTTTGTGACGTCACGTTTTTTTAGAGTCAAACTTATTTCTTAAAACATTGCTGGAAAAATACTAAAATTAAATTACTCATAAAATCAATGTATGATTATTTTTTTAATATTTAATATAAAAATATAAATTAAATACCCATCGTTATTATTTAAATAAACATTAAATTTCGTTTGAATAACAAAAATGTTTCTAACACGTTTATCTTTCCTAAATCCACATAACGTTAAGATAATCGCTCGTCGCCCCCTCTTATAAATTACGCCGAACAATCTTGGAAGCTTACAAATGTAAACCATTTTTTTATCGAAAGTAGGCACATGAAGAGAATTTGAGTCGTTAAAGAAAATGCTCGTAAATAATATAAATAGCTCTTTTTGACGCGTTTTACTTACTCGTGTGAGTACTTGAATATATGTACATACGTACATATTTTCGCAATGTTTAACCTGCTTTCAAAAGAATGAGGTTCGTAATGTATCTTTATTTAATTCTTTTATATTATTATTATAACCTTAAGGCGAAAATGTGATTGTGATAAATTGTTTTTGTGTTGGTGTGGTAGGAATTATAATTTTAGTTATGGTTTAAAGGTTCTTCTCGTGTTACAAATTATTTTTTTATGCCATAGCCGGTAATAGCACAGACCAAGCGCAACACATGTACTCCCGAAACACCAGAGGTGTTACAAGTGCATTACTGACCTTTTGGGGATGACGAATTTGAGGATTATTGGGGATTCGCGGATTGGAGATATTGGGGAGGGGATAATTGGGCCTCCGGTTACCTCGCCCACACTTAATTATTCGTAATAGTGTGTCTATTATAGTAAATGAACCTTAAAGCGCTTTCTTCATCTCGGACACCTCGCACGTGAGATTTCAGAAACTATTACAAAGTTTATGCGGGTACTATACACCCTTTGTTCTATAGAGTGGAACATAGTAACTCTACATAAAAACGTACACATTTTCTCAAAGAGTAAGTTCTGACCGAAACCACATAAAAAGGAGAGAACCTTATGAAATATCTCTTTTAAGGCTAAACAAAGTATTTGAGATAAGATTGATCACTTGATACAGGCATACTAAGGATTTACAGAATTTTTGGAAATCTTCTTTGATGTATGTAGGCCGGTATATTTTGAGGATCTAGGTACATAGGTTTTCTTGATTGTAGGTAGTTTTATATAGTGATTGTATCCGGTGGCCTTTCTTAAAAATGTCTTTGATTCATCTATAGCAGAGCACAATTAATTGGATACAAAATCAAATTAAAAATCTTAATAATACTTATCGTGCTTCTGAATCTAGATTATCGTGTTTAGTAATTAGAATAAGAACGAGCTTACAAGACTATGTATAATTTACCCACAGGCTTGTTATTTTCAATCCCACAAAAACTAAGTAAAAAGAAAATCGTGCCCCAAAATAATTAATCTTCCGAAACTATTTAAACGCAAACAATTTTCGACTTATCATCTAAGAAAATTAATGTTATTTTTCTTTAACCGTAATAGTTACGATTAAGTTATTACGGTATGATTAAAATCTTACTTTAACTTGGCCTGGCCTCAAGTTAGCCGCAACTAAGGCCAATTATGCCCACTTAGGAGAGCTAAATTAAAAAATACTTTTTTATTTGTAATCTCCTGCTGTAATAGTCCACTTAAACTGAAATGGATTAGCTTTTTAGTCAGCCTTAATTGAAAAGTTCAAAGTTAATCAGTTCCTACACATTTTTCTAGTTTTTTTCTTTATATAAAACGTTGCCCAACACTAAGATTATCTCCTGTGTCGTGGGTGCATTTACAAACATACAAGTTCACATACACATGACACCCGCACCCGAAACAACAATTTCTGGATCACACAAAGTATTATTCCGTGCGGAAATCGAACCCGTGACACGTTGCACGGCAGCCGGTTGCCCAGCCACTGCACCAACCGTGCAGTCTTTTGCAGCAGATTGGATGTTTAGAAGCTATATAGAATGTTTATTTCTGTTTGGATATTTATTTTTCTCTTTTTATGATTTCGTTTACTTTCTCAGTATTAATGGAGGCATCTTTTTGTACTTGTCAAATATGCGAAGGCCCTGGAATTCTAGATACCAAATATTTTTATAAAGGTAAAAGCGAGTATGATTTGTATTTTTCATCTCTTACTTTTGGCAATGTCTTGATGGCTTATGAAGTTTTATATTACAGTATAATATTACATACATACATTACATAACTTCACGCCTGTCTCTCGTGGGGGTAGGCAGAGACTATGGAACGCCAATAATTACGACGCCTACATACCTCTTCGCTTCATCAACAGTCATCAATTTTTTTATGCATGCTCGTCTGTTGAGGGTACTTTTAATTTGGCCCTTCATTAATATCTCACCAATCTGGTCAGTATATGTCCATCTAGGGCACCCTCTACCGACGGTCTCATTCATATCCGCTCAGTATAATATTATTTTGTTTATTTTTTCGTCCTTAGTATACTAAATTATAAATAACCCTTATAACGTAATACTTTTATTCTGTTCATCATAAAAGTTACTTGGTCATAAGAAATTTTTAACGTGTTTAACCGTAAATTTTTTTATGTTTACAAACTTTGTTACAGTTAAAATAAAATAACTTTTTAAATAAAACTTGTTTTTTTTTAAAGTAACGAGTTGGTTAACTATGTTATGTAACGGCTTCATCGCATCAGTGAGGTCACCGAGTGATATCCAAAGTTGGGAAAAGTAACATTATTTTGGAAAAATGTTGTAAGTAGGGTTTTTGATCATCGCCCTGCAAGCAAAAGTGGAGTGACGAATGGCAGTAGTTCGATGTGAAGAGGAGGAGACCAATTTTTAAGCGTGGGAGAGCCATGCTTCGGCACGCATGGGCCGGGTAGACCGGAGTGATACCACGGCCTCACAGAAAGCCGGCGTGAAGCAACGCTTGCGTTGTGTTTCGTCTTGTAAGTGAGGTTACCGGAGGCCCAATTACCCTCCCCTTCCCCAATCTCCCCAATCCCTGAATCCTCAACGATCCTCAAACTCCTAATCCCCAAAAAGCTGGTAACGCACTTGTAACGCCTTTGGTGTTCCAGGTGTCCATAGGCGACCCCGATTCTCTGTCCGTGATCTGTCAGCTCGTTTACCGGCTTATGTCATAAAAAAATTGCATGGAATCTCAATGATTGCATTATTTGCGAAGCCATGTCCAGTACTGGATGAATACCGGCTGGTAATACGATAATAAAATATGTAGCCATTAATTAACTCGTCGAGTACCGTATTTATAGACACAATTAAAGAACAATAGCTTGCGGTCACCGGTGACCGCTTGGTGTTTGACAGTTTAAATTATAAGTATTATTTTTGAGTATTTTCTATAAAACTAATATTACATTAAAGTATTCAGAAGAGATATAAACAGAATTTTTACTCTGGACTACTCGTTGGTCGAATGTTCGAAAGTGCGACTGTCGGGCAAGGGGTCTCGAGTTCGATTCCCGGGTCAGGCAAAGGTTTACTGGTTTTTTTTTAACTCTTGGTAGTAGCACAGAGCCTGGAATTGTGCCCGGTATATGGTAATGGGCTCAACCAATCTCTGCCTATCCGTTCGTGAATACAAGGCATGATGTTATGTCATAGGCAGAGAATTTGTCATTTTATTATGAGACGCCAGTAATATTGAAATATTTTTTATAATATCATTAAGAAACGATAAAGAATCGTTCTCAATAATAGTAAAATATTGTATATTGCAAAGAAATCTGCGAAATAGTAATATCTTTTGTATTATTAACATATTATTTAATTCGAAACGTTAATACGTAATTTGTAACAGTATATATTTAATAATATTATATAAGTGACGTGTCTATCAATTATTGTTCGAAATATTCCTGAAAATCATGATTATGTTTAGGTTTTATATGGCTCATAGTAAAAAAAGTGTCGAAAATCTACTGAATTAGTTTATATAAAGTTAATTATTTCTTACGTATATTGTAACATACCTTAACACCATTGTTACTGTTCTGTCAATTCAGATTCTTTTTTTATTACGAGTCATAAATCCTTTTACCATATTTATGATATTGCTTCATAATAATATCTAGTATCTATGTATAAAAAAGCAAGCGTTACTGACCGATAGGTCACCCCCGTAGAAGGGGTGTATGACAAAGGTCTCGTTGCCGATGTGAATGACCCCTGACACTCCGTTGCACGTGTGGAATGCTGCTGACGCCCCTGGGTAGTCCTTCACCGTGCCGTGATAGTAGCAGTGCTCAATTTCCTGAGAACAAGATGAGGTATTGTTATAAAGAGATATTTAGCTAGGAACAGGTATTATGATGATTAATCTTGTACTTCAAAGGGATGAGTATTCAAAGGCTCATAAAGAAGAATCTTTGTAGGATTCTCAATCGGTAGTGAATCTATTTTTAAACTAAAAATCTCGTGTGTTCTTTGAGTATTACTGTCATCTATTGTAAAAATCCTTTCAAAGAAGAAATTCCTACACAACGTGTACATTAGTAGTTTCACACCAACACTACACACAGGATATAAATAAGAACACAAGGAAAAGCTTTAACGTTGACATTCATTCGTTCCTTTTTCGACAAATTCAAATTAAATTTGGAAAACCGTTAACGCATTCAAAATTGGAACTAACTCTTTGAAAAAATCGAACGAAATCCTGGCTGTCAAAACTCGTACCATACCAAAAAATGTCTGCTTTACGCAGTGCGACAAAAACGGTTTAACTTTGTCCGTTATTATTATCAAGCAAATTGCGTAAAAACTTGTCTACTTATCAAAGAAGTTTATAAATGTTCCCTTAATAAATTAGAGAAACCATATTTACAAAATATAATCGCGATACGGGATACAAAAGGCCGGATTTTGATAAAAAACCTTCTAAATATAGCGTGGAGTATGGTCGCAATATAAAAGTGTAGGAATTCAATAAAATATTCTTGTGGGGCAATTTCGTGCGCTGCGAGATCTCCTAATTTGTCATTCACGAGTATCGTCCTTTAACAGAAGGGAAAAAGATGCTATGTAAGTGCAGGGGCCTTAACATTAGCGGGTTTAGCTTACATGTTATAAGACTTGTATAAGTCTAAAGAGAAGTCAGATATTTCCGACCGTTGATAAGTTGGTCTGTAAACTGTAAAATGTTGAAATGTTGTGCAGCCTAGTAATCGGTTTTAATTTTAATAATATATTTTTTTGGGATTTTGTCATGCCGTTATGAGCCTACAAATTTCTTGGCACAAGTTTTAAAATTTTAGTTAAAACAATTAATTCTGTCTGTCAAACACCAAGCGGTCACCGGTGACCGCAACCTATTGCTCTTTAATTGTGTCTATAATGATGGTACTCAACGAGTTAATACACATCAGAAAAAAAACTGGTGTATGTTTAATTTTTCTATATAAGGATAAAAACCCTTGATCTAACCCATGAGACATGCATCGCTAATTTCATGGCCACCACGTAAAAGCCTCACTCGCAATTAGACCGCGTTCTTTTTTTCACTCTGCAGCGAATGGAACGAATGAAAGACCGAACCGCACGCTCACAAGAAATCGAAAAGGTTTTCATTCATTCAATGTGAATAGTACACTCCGGGTGACGTTGTTTTGACATTTCCCTTTAAAGAACATTTTATTAATCTAATCTGAGATTAATTATCTTTCAGTTACATTTTTTGGTATTTTTTGTAAATTATAGGATGTCTAAAGATTGAATTGAAATAGGAATAAATAGAAATGTATTTCAATTAGGTAGATGAATCAACAAAGAAGTATAAGTATAATATATAAGAACTATATATTCAACGATTGTTTTCTTTTTTATTTATCTTTGTTCTTCAAATTTTACCAATCACAAGTTCATCTCAGAAATAAAATTAATAAAAATATTTTCCTAATAATAATATAATAACAGTAATGAGACGTTTCTCACTCGGGGAGCTAGTTATAACAGGATTCGTTCTCTTGGCTCCTTGAGTATCATCAATCATTTTCAAAAGTACTCGTCTCCTTGTTTTTCTTTTAACAATATCGCTTGGGAGACATAAAAATATTCTTCGGGAACAATTGCTAAAGTGGCCAGTCATTTCATAAAAGTCTTTGAGACGTGGAATGATAAGTTTAGTTTTATATTAGTTTTAGTTTCGCGCTAGAAAAATAGGTGAAGTGGTTTTTTCATGTCATTGTTCTAAATTGAGGCCATTTTATAAATTAGGCTATTTATTTATTTCTAGTTTGTTGGGCTTTTTGATTTGTCAAATGATATGAAAGTAATTGAAGTGTTATTGCAGTCATCATCATCATCATCAACAGCCTATAAATGCCCACTGCTGAGCAAAGCCTCTTCTCACACGGAGAAGGTTAGAGCATTAATCACCACGCTTGCTCAATGCGGGTTGGCGATTTCAAACTTATAATTAGAAATTATAAGTCCAGGTTTCCTCACGATGTTTTTCCTTCACCGTTTGTCAGTGGTGTCTAAATAATCTTAGAAAGTACATATAACTCGGAAAAAGTCACATTGGTACTTGCTGTTGGTAGGTTTCGAACCCGCACCCTCATGCATGAGAAGTGGGCGTCTTAAACCTCCGGGCCACCACGACATTTATTGCAGTAGTTGTTGTTAATTCACTGAAGGTAATCTTTTACACGTTAAAAATAAGGAAAACTGATCAACAGACATATTTTTCATTCTGTGGTTGTTTCAAGTGGCGAACAAAAATTTGTTTTAAGTGTAGCTCCTATCGATAAACGACGTACTAAGGGCTGATTTTTCAATACTCAGTAAATTGTTTTCAATTCTTCCATACTAAAAACTATCAAATGTCAATTTAATTTATCAAATAAAGATCTATCTATTGATTGATTGAAAAATAGATGATGGCACACGAATAGAATAAAATCATGGTTTAAGAACATTCTGTATAAAGTTATCCAGAAAATAATTTCATGTTGTCACAGTTTCAGCGGCCTGAGAAAATATTTTGCGTCACGACCACCATTTTTCTTCCCCTAAGTACTGCCGTGTAATTATCACTCCCACCCTCAACCCACCACACTGAAGGGGGAGGAATTTCGTTTAGTAATTCTAGTGTGTCATACTTACTCATATATGTTACTCAAGTTTATTGTGTATTATCTTAATTGTGATAATATTAGGACTTCAAATAGGATATTTATTGAGTTAATTATTATTGTTGTAACTAATTAATGTTCGTAGTAAGTGATCATGTCCATTCAAAATATAACGTATGTTGAAGTAATATATTTTAACGTACGAAACGTAAGCATATTATATTTTTCGGTTATTCATCCCCGAATACACATTGTTCACCTGTCTATTATCTAAGGACTACTAATAATACACTGGAAACGATACTAGACAAAAAATTATCGTTAAATCCCAAAGAGGGTAATAAAATACTAATATCATGTTTTAATCTCGACAAAAACTGCCGGTACCAACATTCACTGTACAGGTAGACGTCTCACAGGTAAACAGTAAAATTACAAAAACGGCTCCCAATTTCGTCCTAATATGATTAACTTGATCATCAATTGAGCTGACAATTACGGGAAAAAATCCCAGAACACAAGCTCCCTGCTCATACTAAATTAGACAAGGTGTAGGAAAATTCAATCTAATCTAAACTTGCTTCAATCTAATTTGAATTTCCTCACCTTCTCGTCCCGTACCCTCCCTGGATGGACCTCTTTAGTCCTCCTTGCTATTTATCCTAGCCCCACACTTTTGATTCACACGGTAGTCTAAGATTTCATAATCGGTATTGATTTCGTTTTATATTCAATAGCAACCGGGGGCTTACTCTTGGCTACTTCCACAATTTAACACCAAATTTTCACTGTTTATGTTAATGAATCCCATGTAATAGGGGGTGAGCCTATTGCCGTATACCGGGCACAATTCCAGACTCCGTGCTACTACTGGATTTTTTTAAAAAACCCAGTTATACTTTGACCCGAGACCCCTCGCCCGGTAGTCTTGCACTGGTCTAGCAATTACGCCCACTCGGCTAACTGACACCCTGGTAAAAACGTGGGCGATCCATTGTATGTATTTATATGTCTCTGTCTAACCCTTCAAAGGTGGATATGAACTATGACGTTCTATTGTATATAACAAAAGGTGTATAAATTGGAAATTTTTACACAACAAGGCTTTTGTTTTATATCTCATTCCTTTGTACATAAAGTCGGCAGCGGCATGGAGTTCCTAGTAATCCATCAATGCTATCAAAGACTCAATTTTTCATCCAACAACTGGTATAAACTAAAGGCAGGATTCATTCAAAAGGATTGAGTTCGTAGAAAACTCTATTGAATTTTTAGTTAGCTTGTTTTATAAGATCACTTTGAGTGGAACTTCGTCGGTCGATCAGTTTTCTTGAAGTTTATTATTCGGTTCCAAGACCTCATTTTCTTATTCAAAGAATTTTATTTCGATTGAGCCATAAACTGGCAATTTTGAGACAATAAGACACAATATTGTGTATCAGTAGCTTATTCCAAAGCATACATTCGCATGGCAAAGAAGGAACCAAACCTAATAACTTTAATATCATGTCTTTAACAGTTCTCTTATTAGTTTCTTTATATCATGTTAGCTCAAAAGACGAGCTACCTCGACGCTCATAGATTCACACCGCAAATACGAAATTGCATTATCCGACCTCACGTACTCGTACGTATCTAGTCTTGTTTGCTAAGATGCACTGCATTAAATGTAGACATTGCACTGAAATTACACACACCTCTCACACCCCGGACTAAGATCACGTAGAAACATAAGGTAGAAACCACATACTGTCACATGTCCCTATCCATGAATGCTTTCAAAGTTGTCAATACCCATTGTCCTCCTACCAACTGCGCAATGGATGCCACATTTTGTAAAGGTTCGTGTTGTCATGCACAAACAAGCTTCCATGCTATTTCAAACTTTATTAAGTTAGCCATGGAGAGTAATTTCGTTTGTTGTATGCACGTGAATTCCGCCAGGTTGTGTATCAAAATGGGATTAAAGAAGGTATTCAGATTCGGGGCTTGAGATAAATTCGGTTTGACGTAAATTCGGACGGAGTGTCCGTGAATTCGGAATGCACTTCGACATTTAAAGGCCAGGTCAGTCAGAGTAAACGAAAAAAACAGATATTTCTTTTTGGATATTACTAATGATATAACAAATTTATTTAATTAAGAATACCCACACTAAAAATTAAACCACTCTTTAACT